CTTGTCCTTGTCCTTGTCCTCATGAGGTTCCGCTCTGCCCTACTCTCCATCCATCAGAGAGACACTCTAGGTCTCTCTGAATGGCAGCACAGTGCTCTGAAGGTCCCATCTTTAGGTCCCATCAGGTTCAACGTGTCCCTGAGGCCCATCAAGTACAGGGCGGCCTAGAGAGCCTGAGCCACCTGCAACGCCTACAGCAGAGTGTGGAAACCTCCGAGAAGACTGGTCCCTCTAGCACAGGGTCACCAGAGCCAGATGGGCTGCGGTTTTGTAACATGATGCTCGTGTGAGAGCAGAGATGCCCAGCACGGTCACCCTCCCTGTTCCCTCTTCACACACGTTCATCCCCATTCCCACGCCACAGCCTGAGTTTGCCTGGATGCAGCCCGAACCAGACCTGGAATTGCCTGCAGAGCTGCAGGGGTCTGAACTGCTCCAACTTTCTTTGGGGTTTTCATCGGGCTGCTCCCCCTAATCTGAGGTTTCCAATGCCTCAGGTTTAAAGTGGAAAAGGCCTTTTCTTGATTCACCCTGGCCAGTGGAGAACTGCCCCCTATACAACTGCTTATAGCTCTCTGAACAGGGAATGAGAACGTCTTGCCTCAAGGGCTTTTTTGACCACTAATACAAACAGGACAAAAATGCTGAAATAAAGTACTAGCAGCACAGGATTAGAGAGATCGTATTTCTGTAGCGGGAAGCATATTTTAACAAGAGCAGGGTAAAAAAAAAGAAAAAAAAAACACTTGATCCTGTAAAGAACTAGCGTGTTATGAAATGAAACGTGCCCACACAACGCCGTGCACGGCGGCAGCGTGGCCTGGCGCTCGGAGGAGGACGGAGCGGGGCCGGGCAGCCACAGGGTGCCGCTGCTCCACGCAGACCCGCACAAAGCGCGTTTGTCTGCCTGCACGGAACAGGCAAAGCTTTGAAGACTGGGCTGGCGTTTTGCAAACACACGCCAGTCCCTCCAGCCTAGCGCTGATGCATCCGCCCGGGTTATTCCGGGACTACGGGAGAGGTGATTGATTGGGTTACTGCAAGCACATTTGGTCTCCAGAAAGAAGGAGTGACAGCGCAGTGGAAAAAGCTGTTAAAAGCAAGACCTTAGCATGCCGGTGCAATTTTCCATTTCAGGAAACCAAGGCCACGGCTTCGCTCCCGGTTTCCACCAAGAGCCGCCACTCTGGTCTGTGCTGTGGAAGCATTTGCAAAACCACAAATATTTCTCTCTGTGCTAAGCAAAGAAGCAAATAGCATGTAAAATCATCCGCCTCCCGCGGGGGGAGCTGGAGCCACAGCCAGCCTGGAAATGAGCATTAGCTGCTCACAGAAGGAGCAGGGCTCAGGTTCCCACCAGGGTACGGATCCCAGCCCGCTGCTGAGAAGAGCTTTTACGCTTCTCGCTCCTAAGCGCTATTTGAATGCGCTGGAGTTGGCTCAAGCCCTTAAGTACAGCAGTTTCCCTTTCACCAGCCCTTGCCATCTGGCTCGACCTCTGATGGGAGCTGCCAGCTTTCTGCTGGATGACAAAACACACCAAAGTTCAGGAGCAAACACACGCGCTGATGCAAATCACAACTACACCGAAGAGCTGGCCCTTCTCTCAGGCAACCTCCCTTTGCTGGCAGGTCTCCTCCTAACCCGGCCCAAGCTCTATCCTACTGGGCCTCGTGAGTCCCCAGCTTCAGGCACAGCCTCTGCTCCTTCCCTGCTTGTATTTCTCATGTCACTTTTCTGCTGTATGCTGTCTCATTTCCTTTCCTCCTTCCTCATTTTTCCCTTGCTCTGTTGAATCAATGTGCTCTTCTTCCTTCACTCTTTGCCCTTCCCATGGTTTGCACAGCTGAGCACGGCAAGAGGAGGAAGTTCCCACTCCTGTCACATGACAGCAAGTACAAATTGCTGGCTGAGAAGCTGCCGAGATCAAGAGAAATTGCCCTCAAAACTTCTAGTAAGGAACTAGTGACGCATCGAGCCTCATATCCCTTTCCAGAAAGCTCTGCGCTGTCCTCCTGGGATGGGTGGGACTGCAGCTTGCACAATGACCTAAAAGA